CCCGTTTCCCACCGGGACTCATACCACTGCCACTTCAGTGGCAAAAAAAACAGGCTGAGCTAGCTTGAACAGCAACTCGTAGTAAACCAATAACATCTCGAATGTAATGAGTTGCGAGTGCCCGGACAATGAACTATCACGGCTATAAGAGCGAAGTATTGGACCAAGCTCGTGGATACTCTGCCCTTTATGTGTTCCTTATCACCGACGACTATTACCATTATCCTTAAGGCTAGAAGCGGAATCATCATAGAGAAAAGACACTGATTACCGCTAATTTCGTACATATATGATAATATGATAAAATAATATCATAACTTCTTCTTTCACATGTCCTTTTAGTAACTTGATTCACATGTCTTGCCGACCCCGAAATTTTATCTCGTTAGGATAACATTTTGAATATATATATTTTTTTATTTGAGAAGGTGGCAAGAGAGCTTGCGGTTCATCTGGTGTTAAGTGACAACCGCCCCATGACAGTGGTAAGTAATTTTTTTTCGCATAAATATTAACTATTAAATACATTTTTGCAAACTATACTTTACTGAAATTTCCGCGTTCCCTAAATACATTAACTCTTTCACATTAGCACGTATCTTCCAATATAAATGTATGCTGTTTCTTACTTACGTCACATACGTTTCTTTTGCAATATGTCGATAACACATCTAATACTTTTATATAATAATCTGAATCTCGGAAACGGCTCCAACGATTTTCAAAAACATCGGTTTCACACATCCTGTGATTTTAACCGCCACTTTTGTACAATCCTCTTTCGTGAACATAATATGATCAGTATAAAGAAAATATTTCTTATAGATACTCAAACATTTTACCCTTTATATATACGAGAATATACGGACGTAGGTGTGAGGTCGGTGACGCTTTTATCACCTGCCCTGTGTTACTAAAAACTCCTTTAGTAACAAGTGGTTCTGATTATTAAACTAATCTCAGACATAATGCGGCCATTCTCGGTTTTTGTCCGTCGCGTATTTCAGTCATTTGACTCTCATCATCCACGTCAAAGTTCATGCTGTCTTAAGGTTCAAATTTGTCTGGCGCTTCGTTAACAAAGGTGCAAGGAACTTATAAGTATTAACGACCGTATCTCAATGACCATTATAAATAGAGCCCCAATCGGAAAACCAATTAAAAGTAAAAATAATCTAAAGAACGTAGAATTTAATGTGATTTTATCACCTTTTCCATTCAGATTATTCGTAAAGTTTTTATTGTATTAGTTAGTTTCTATTATTTAGATAAAAATGTTCTACGTATTCAATCATTGCAATGTATTCATCCTGTTATTCGTTTCATTGCTGTATATTAAACAGGAGCTGAGACAACATGCTATTCTTATTCTCGTCATCAAATGCAGGCGATAATTTTAAAGTAGACGTCATCAACATGGTAATTTAGCCAGTAACTGGCAATAAGAACACTCAGCAGTTGCATTAATGCTTCTTCAAATATAACTCTGATCTCCCATAAACTGTTATACCTCTAAATACCATCACAACAAGCGCCAATTTAATATACCACGCCAAACTCGTGGTCTAGGGTGTTTGTTCACGAAGCCACAATAATGTAAAGCGTGCGAAGCAACTAAAATGTGAAAGGGAAATAACAATTTACCTGGCAAAGTAACTGTCTTCAAAGCGGACATGATTTCGCATATTTCATATCGATCTAATATATGATAGTTATAACATCATCTTCATCATTTATCATTCATCATTTCAGCCTGTTCTAGTCCACTGATGAACATATGCCTCCACCACAGACTTCTACTAAGTAACGACTATATTTCTCAAATATTCTTCTTTAATACGTATGATAAATGTGAGACAATTAGGAATTTATGAATTTATTCCATTATATATCCATTATATTTTATATCCATTAGCCATCTTGTTTGCGTTGCTTAATATAAAATTTATATGTATTTTTAGCAACAGAACATTTTGTACATATTTTCCATAGCAGCTGCAGCACAAATGAGTAGGAGGCAGGGGGCCATGGTCTAGTAGAAGATAGCGTGAAGTTGGAAAATTGTCTGAATACTGGTCTAGTGCGTGTAAACGGAGCCTGGTATGAATGTTGGCAACTAATCACTAAACATTAGGTGCACAACCTGCTCACTTCTAACGCTTTCATAATAATGTAAAATTAATTCAAAACCTGGACTTAATATTGATAGCGAAGACGAGAGATGACAAGTGTGCTGTTTTATTTCTCGCTCAACGGTTAACGCCCCGTTTCTGAAACACTGATCATCGTAGAAATTAACTAATCAGCTAGAATTATAAGAATGATGGTAAAATGATCAATTCAAGGAGTTTAACCATCCTTTTGGCAACTCAAATGACATTTGAGAAGCCATTTGACAGCTGATTAGTTAATTTCTACGATGATCAGTGTTTCAGAAACCGGGCGTAAGCATAACTATTTAGTTCAGCGTGGAAATGCAGCTTCGGTTCTGGTCTGGATGGTCATGGTTTATAAGTTAACATTGAATTTAGTTAATTTTTTAGTTATTAATGTAAGTATTTTTCATTTGATAATTAAATTATATACATTTTAGTCAAAGATAATTCACCCCAAAGAAGCGAACTAACGGTTCGTGAAACTGGAGTTACATTTCAATTTGTAAATTACCTACCCAAAGTAGATTTCACGACTTGAACCTTCAAACTTACTTTTATATAGAAGTTATTCGGACAAATTTGTTTAAAAATTCCGACAAATGTTTAAGTTTGTTATTTTTAGGTTCACGTTAATTAACAATGATTGCCTTTTCTATTTTAGATGTACTCTATGATATTTGATTTTTTTTTTAGATATAAATGTGATTTATGATGATGTGTATACATGTTTTTATAGCCCAATTTAATGAACAAATAATAACCCATATGCTACTCCATAGTTATATCCAACCTCCTACGAATTTAATGTTCCACCTAAAGATCTTGAAACGTAAACTATCTAAAAGGCTGAAAATTACTAGGCACTTCAGGATGGAGGCCTATCAATCTTGATATTTATAGAATCTGTAAATGTCCATGCACTTCGCTTGATCTAAACTTATTTTTATTTTTAGATACCAGATTACATAGTATTCCATTTAAGATGTTCTTCTTGATTACAAAAGTAAATAATAACTAACATAATGTTGTCTGCGTACCTCGCATTTGTTGAGGCGTTTTAATGTCTTTATTCAAACAAAATTTGCTAAATCAATGAATAATTAATAATGACTAAACCATAATTTAAAATACATACTTTAATATTGAAGTTATGAACTCTATATTTCCTCTTCTACCACACTGAAGAAATAGAAACTACTATTTAGGATGGATAATATTACTACTACAAATTATTTTCGACTTTATGTCGAACACAACACGTTTTAATATAGAATGAACAAATTGTTGGCGATGAGTATATTAAAAATGAATTTCATGACACGGTGGCAATTTATCGGCCTTTGTTAGTCATTAATATATATGTGAGATTCAGCATTCACCTCTTTATAACTAAACAGGTAGATGTTGACTGATATTCAAGTTCCATAGTACCTATATATTATGTTATGGTGGCGAGCCTGGTCCTCTACCTTGAGGTCGCAAAATACAGATTTTTTCGTAAATATGCGCACAATGTCGCGGCGAAATCTAATTATTTATTAGTTAAATCTGTGAGGATCGCCTCCACGAATACATTTTGTGACCAAACTACTCTTCTAGTGTATACAACCGTGAAAATATGTATAAACCTGTATAATAAGTATATATAACCCTGAAAAGATAAGAGCTAAATTCAATTGTGCTTATCAATCGACTTCAAAAAAATGGTGGTTTTCAATTCGGTCACATTATTTCATCCCATGATGTCCCATATAACGGGTGATTTCTGTGGTATTTGACCTTGTACTTCGAACTCCTCAAAATAAAATAGAATATGTTTAGTGAGAACGTGAGATATTTGAAGTTGGTTTTGTTTTTTGTGATTAAAAACTATTTACTCGTAGGTAAATTATTTCAGTTAATAATCGACCAATAATATTATATCACCGATGTAGTTGTCAGTTAAAGAATTTGTGCATGATTAAAATCGAAGAGGATTGTTTTTGTTAACATTTTCTGTTTATTCAAGAACAGACACCCGACTGTCTTATGTCAGTACGTTTTACAATCGAATATCATTCATAATCGCAACGAATCTGTTATTTTTATAAAGGCGATTGCATCCAATATTGCAAATGAGCTACAACTTATTTTTAAATAATACAGCACACACGTTATCCTTAACAGTGTAGTCTAGAGGCCGATTTAAATTGCACTCAGTGTGTTGGACACTAAAGCATAATTTTCATTGTCAGCCCTGTAGCATACCATTCGGTTACGTCACTGCCACGCGAAGGCCTCCCCCCTCAGCTTTCCCCCGGACCCCCGCCCCCTTTAGTCTCCCGTTACCTCGTTATCAATCATTTCGGGAATTATTTAACTATGTATTAATTTTTCATCCAGCGAAAGTAAAATCACAACCTTCGTTAATTGATGGATATAAAAGAAAGAAATCATAATGAAGTCTCGACATATTATGTTGATTTAAAATAGTAATGTTGAATTAGAATAGTAGAACTTGTGAAACTTCAAAAGTGTTCAGATTCATATTCGTTTCGATAGTGGAATGATTGGCGCGCAATCTGTTCTGTTTAAAGATTCCCGTTAACCTTGTTTCTCATGTCGCCGTAAAAAATTCCCAAAACCTCACGCCTTTGAATGGAAGTGATCAATTAAATTAAACTCCGATTGCGACGCGTTCGCGATCTTTTGCTTTATTTATAAACAGTCCAACCGACAACCGTCGACGCGAGTTGCGTAGTGATGTATACGGTTGGGCCGAAAGTTCGCCTCTGTCCGGGTGAAACAGTATCGCCTACCTGTTAATTGGACAAAGAACTCTCGGGCTCAGTGGGGACGCGGCGTATGGAGCGTGCACGCGGGGACAGAGCGGCGGCGCGGGGCGTGGAGGGAGCGAGGGACGCACGTCCCACCGCGCAGGGGCGTCGGCGGAGACTGCCCGCGGCCGCTTACGGCGCGGGCGGCGAACAGCTGATTTCAGTTCAGCCCGCTTACACCTGTGCATTGGCTCGGTCGGCACGGCGGATTCGCTCCCAGATAACGCCGCGGTTAATCAAACCGTTAGCACTGCGACTCTCCGTGCCGTCGTGCGCTCCGTTCTCCGTCGGTTTGGCGGGTTCCACGTCACTTGGAGCGTGTTCAGTGAAAGTAGCTCGACGCAACATTGCCGGACTGTTATTGAGATATTTTAGTCTCGAATTAAAATTGACGAAATTCTCTATCTACACGTAAACATACATTGAGAACAGAGAGAAATGATCTGTCTCAAAGTATCGGACACTACGAAAATTGCGCTGACGGAGGAGCATAAACTTTCCCACACTTATAGTTTATATAGGGCAGGAGTGCAGAATGCTAATATTTTTGCAAAATTATGCATAAAAATACATAAAATCAATAAAAAAAACATTAAACACACTACTATGTATAATTAAATAGCGCGACCCGCATCGGCTTCGCACGGGTGCAATGTTATTATGTTATACATATAAACCTTCCTCTTGAATCACTGTATCGGTGCGTAGTTTTAAAGATCTAAACATAAATAGGGACAGACAGACAGCGGGACGACTTTGTTTTATACTATGTTGTGATGATATAGCATGGCGAAACTTGACTTACGTATCCACACCAACCTTACACGGTCTGACCTGCCACAGAAAATATGTAAAATAACAAATTTATGAATCATATTTTTATTATATCAACGTAATGCTTACACATTATAATTTTAGCATTAGAATACAGTGACGTAATATCAACGGCTACAGTTATATTACATGTTACTGAGAGTAGTGCAAACATTGGTGTGTCGGCCAGTCTTGTCTACATTTATGTACTGATCTTCGCCACGTGTAAAACGGCTTTCACCGTTGTGGTATGGGGTCCGTATGAACGCAGAGGCAATAGGCCAGTGCTGCCAACTACTAAAAATAAATGGCCCTAAAATCAAGATGAAATAGCCCTAAATAACCATAAATGCAATTTTGAATCCAAGAATATTATTGTTTAAATAATTTTTACATTTTGTTAAGGTAACTTATATTTATGGTATAACTTAGATTTAACTATATTCATTACAAATAGTTGAAATAATAAACACAACAACACAATAATAACTAACATTGTACTAATTACAAACATCAAGAGATATTTTGCTTTTATTTTACTCACTTTGGTCAGTGAAAATAGTGATTAATGAAATATTATTCATGGCCCTAAATTTTGTGGATCCTAAAAAAAGCTCAACACGCATATTTCCGCCGCAAATTTGGGGCTAAAAGCCCTAAGTTGGCAAGACTGCATCAGGCCAACAGCTGGTCGAGTTCTGACTTGATCGAGCCCCCCACTACCTGCCCAACGCAGCGCACCAGGCGATAACAGCAGGCCACCGCCTTTTTTTTCTCTCTAATAAACGATTCCGAAGAATCCGTATTTTGGCAGAGCCGCCTTCTTGTTTTATTTTTAAATTCATTTTTACAGACATTCCTTCATATGAGTGCCTGGTACATATTACTAAAAATAATTATACTGAAAGGAGGCGAACACAAAAGAGATTCGTTAGTGTTACGTAGTGGGTAGTGTACCTGCTTCCTGCGCCGGGTGCGGGTTCGATCCCCACTAATGGGAAAACATTGTGTGATGGTTATAGTGTTTTTCCAGTGTCTGGGTGTTTATATATGTGTAAAATGTATCTATTTACAAAAGAAAAGTATCTAGTACCTAATTTGGGACTAGAAACTAGAACGCTGTGTAAAAATGTGTCCTAAATATTTTTTTTTATGTTTAACTCTAGCCTCTTTTGGACATTTACAGTACGGTTTAAGTTTGTGTAAAGAAACAAAAGGTTTTTCTCCGAATTTATTTTTGTATGGTAGGCGTTTGATGAAAGGTTTTCGAGTTGAGTTCCCGTGTATGTCGGTTGCGTGTGGGTTGAAACCGGTTGGTGCCTAAATATTTAATCATGATATGCACAGAGCATTTGGCGATTTCCAAGTATAGGGCAGATGGCGTTTAAGTCGAAGCACGAAATGCTAATATAGTAGTTTACAATTTAATATTTCACTCTACGATCTAAGTAAGGGCTTGTTGTTTTAAAATTTCTAAAAATTGTATAAATAATAACAATAAGTACTAACAATTACTAATTTTTATTGAATATATTACTATTGTTGGAGATTTACAAAAAATATGAAAGTGTTGTATATCATGTTATACACAATATTATACGTTTTACCATGGCCTTGTCTTTGATACTTCCGAAGTGATCTGACTTACAGTCTGTGCGCTGTAACCTTTGATAATATACTTGTCATAATCATTATCAAAGGCTGTAGCTTTGTGCGGGTAACAGGTGAGAGTTTAACATGACTTGACATTGAACAAGTTTTACTCGAATTAATAAATTTCGATGATCGATTCTCAAGGCCTAGTACCGATTAAAAACGAAAAAAAAATAATCGGAATTTTTTTGCGGAAACAAATGTATTTATTATAATCATTATAATAAATACTTTGCGACATACGAAATTCGTTTAGAAAGTACCTATTATGAAAATATTTGGTAATATTTTGACATCCATTGATATCAATTTGTATAAAAATCTAGATTTTGAATTTAAAAGGAAAAAAAAACACTCGTTTTAATTTATTTATCGTCTGTGGTAAGACAACACAAGGAACATCACTATCCGTGTGCCCCTAGCAACATTTCCTTGCGTGTATAAATTTATCTGCCGTTTTTTTTTTAAAATGTTATCGTACTTTCTTACATGATAAAGTCTGTCGACATCATTTAGTGTTCCAATCGTGTCCCATTGGCGCTGATAGCTTTAACATAGGTCGGTTGTCCTATCTCTTCTGACCACCCGTCAAGGTACAGGAATAGAAGCGCTATGAAAAACTAGGCAAGTTATTTCTGCCCACCCCATCAGTATTATGGAATATAGAACCTGCCTTCTTAGGACTATCACAAAACCAAATTCTTTCAATAATGTGTAATTAATAAAAATATAGTTTTAATGGTTGTACGTGGTTTTAGGTATATAAGAAGTGACATAGAATAAAATAGTGTTGTACAAATACAAGAATAGGTATTTACCACAGATAAAAAAAGGGATTCAATTTACTAATACAACAAATGATAATATAAAAATCTATAAAGGTTTTTATATTATTATCATAAAATAATAATATCACATTTTATTATCAAGCCGACAAATCTATTCGAATTTAAAAACAAAAGGATTATTTTCTTCGGTTTAATTATCAACGGAAAATTCCTTTTCGTAGCAAACAAATAAATAATAAAACCGACATTGAATAAGTGAGCCCGTTAAAACTCAGTTAAAACGTAAAAGAGGAAAGCGTAATTTGGCGTAAAATTTTTGTTAAGGATAATTAACTACCGAATTTTCAGACAGTAAAAAAAAACTTGTCTACCTGAACCTTTTGAAACATTTGAACGGCTTAAAGTCGTTAATTTAACGTGGGCTTATTGAATGGATTCGTTGAAATCGCCGTTTGAATAGAAAATAAATTAATTCGCCTGTAACTGTTATGTGTGAAGCCGTGTTGGCTGCGTGTTCAAAATTCAAAATATCTTTATTCACAAAGACGCTTGCGCGTTCTTATGGAATGTTGAAATTTTACACAGAAATTAATACGTTCGTAAGATACCACCGGTTGGGAAAGCAGTTTTTGTTGAGAAGAAACCGGCAAGAAGCTAAACAGTTGCTCTTATTTAAAAAGTTCAGTTTGCAATGTAATGGTACAGTATTAACTCCACACATTTGCGTCGTCAACATATGGCGTGATAAGATGGCGTTCGGATGTTTGAATTGAATTTGCTTATACGCATGAGCCGTGATAGCTCAGTGTCCGGGCGCGCGCTTTTCATTCGATATACTCGAGCAACCCGAGTTCAAATCCCGGTGCCAGCACCAATGAAATTGTTAACTTTAAGTGATGACTTGGAAAACATCGTGTGGGAACGTGCATGTTTTCGAAATAAATGAAAATTTATTATGAAGACATCGAAGTCTCCACGCAGTGGGGCCACGAAGTTAACTATGCGCTGCTACCATCTGTACAGAGGAGGACTTTACCCAGCAGTGGGACATGTATACGCTGTTACTTTACTTTTACTTTACCATACGCAGACTATTCGTGTTCAAATCCCCGTTTAGGTATTGATTAAATTTTAAGTGTAAAATTATTCACAATTTTTTACATTCACCGAATTAAGAATCTTCGAAATATAATAACTGAATGAGACAATGGATAAAGCTGCGAAGCCCCTTTGTATGTTATTATTTTTTACGTAATAAGTAGCAGACTCGGAGGGATGGCGCTGAGGTAAATTTGTTGCGAAAACGTTGCGTCCGTTTTTGTTGCGTTTTGTCTGGAAATTGAGGTAACTGGCAACCCTATGAGTATTGCACATTTTCGCGGGCAATTTATATGACATAACATCAGGTGAATACTTTGCACTTTAACGCATGAAAGTAAACCAGGGTGAAACCCTACACTCTAAATTTATAATAGGTTGATAATTAAATTCAAATGTACAACTTGTTGTAGATTTTAACTAAAGATTTTTTGATTAAATGAATTCCGATTTATTTTATTTAATAATTAGAAATAACAACAATGAAAGAATAGACAAAAAACATACCCAGTACTGTCGTGCCAATATTTTTCATTTCAATTCATAGCATTGTACGTGTGCCTGAAAAGCCTTCATGGTCTGCATGTGCCTCAAGGGATTGGAAACGTGTGTTGGCTTTATGAATTATTCACTTGTCACTTTTTCGTTTCGTTTTTATGATAACATGTTTGAATTATTGTAACCTGTATGGCTACTTGACAGTAACCTCTCTAATAAAACTAGTGACCATAAAATTTTAAATTTCAGATTTTTGAACTACGAAGAATTGTGAAGTGAAATAGAACATTATATCCTGCGTCAGATGAAGCTTTAATAGCCTCGGGACTGAAAGCAAAAACATCAGTTAGTACAAGATTCAACATTATATTACTTTTAACTACTGGAGATTTATTTGTGAGTGTTTGAACGTTGAAATAAGTCTTTGATATTGAAACAGGCCATGTATATTACCCAAATAAACTTTCTATATTTTAGACCCCTGTTTGTGTCAAAATAAGATAATTGCTGCCCTTCCTTCCCCCAATGATAAGAAGTAAGATTTTTTCAGAACTACTATAAA